TTAAAATTTATTAATGAAAAATAGTAATTTTTTGGAACATATCTATAAATTTTTACAAAGTTAGTAATAGAAAATAATAATTTAAAAATGGAAAATACTAATTTTAAAATGGAACATACTTGTTATTTGACTTAGAATTTTTTTAATATATATGATATACAATTATTGCTCTATGAAATAAGCATGCCCATAAAAATCCTTTTTCTTTTATATATTTGTTTCTCTTTTTTCAAAGTTGGAATATCTCTCTAATTAGTATTAATTCAAAGTAAAAAAATATTCATATGTAATTTCTTTTAGTCTTACCAATCTATCGGTTTTTAGAATAAATTTAATTATTTTGATTATTGTTTTTGAATATGAGTTCTTTTTTTAATTTCAAAACATATTATTTAATTTAAATATTTTCCAACAATGAATTAAGATATAAAAGTTTTTAAACGCGATTATGCTGAGAAATTTGTGTGTAACAAATACGAAATTTAATTTCCATTGAATAAGTTTTTTTGTTAACTAATTCTTTAAATATAACTTGTTCTGACATGTTAAAAAAATTGTCTAATAAACGCGCCACATGTCACAATTCTAGAAGCCCAACTCTCAAATTTTATATATAAAGATGTAGGAGTATTATCATAACTGACCTACTGGATCCCGAAGTTGCACCATTGGAATTAGATAATATCGATGTAGATAAAAAAATATTAAGCTATTTGTACACTAAAATTTGTACCTGATTTTTACTCTAAAAACATGCACTAACATTTTGTTCTAGTGTGATCTTAGTGCGATTGTTTACATTGACAAAAAATGTCAGTGAATTTGTTTAAGTGAACTATCATTTTGTGTCATTGTGAACCGTTAAAATGTCGATAAATTTCTTTGGGGTACAACTTAGGGTATACTTTTTGGCGTATCCCTTGCATGGTTGATATAAAAAGGGATATGATTATATGATACTCCCTCCGTCCCATAAAGTCAGTCCCGTTTCAAAAAAATTGTGTCCCTTAAAGTCATTCTTATTTCTATTAAAAAACCACTTTTACCCCTTACTTTTTCATATCCTACCTATCACATCAGATCATACCTTTTTTCTAATAATCTACACATCACATCCTACTTTTACCTATCACATCAAGAGTATTTTTGGAAAGTCAACACAAAATTATCCCTCCTTATTTTACCACTTTAGTCAAACCGTCTCAATCTGTATGGGACGGAGGGAGTATATTATAACAAAGAATTTTTCATATCTAGTCTTTTGTTATCAAATATTACATTCATAAAAGGTGGGGTAATTTACCTAAATATGACTAAAACATAATGACTTTCTCAAAATAGGACCATATGTTTTTATTTTCCAATGTAGGACCATTGGTCATTATATAATAGTCATTATTCAACTAAATGTCCAGCATCACTTGGATATTATTCTTCTCATTAGTCATTATTAAGTCCTATTTAAAAATAAAAATGTTTAAGTCCTACATTGGAAAATGACTTACGTTTTACTAACTTATAAACATAGAAAAACACAAAGAGTGTGAGACAATTAATTCAGAAAGATAATCTAATTCCCAATAAAAATGGCAGTGAGAAATGAGAAATCTGTGTTAGTTCTAAGGTGTTGGCTAATCTTTTGGCAAAATAGAATCCCATATTTGTTAGATGTTTTACTAGGTAGAAACCTCTATTTGTTAGGAGAGGTTTATTTTATTTAGACTTCTAGAGCTGTTGCAGTTTTTGAGGTTGACGCAGAAGATGCTACAG